AATGTGAGTCATCTCAGAGTTTTTGGATCAATGTGCTTCAGGCATGTACCTGAACAATTGAGAAATAAGTTGGATGATCGAAGTGAAGTCATGGTGCTCATAGGTTATCATTTGAATGGTGCATACAAGTTGTATTCTCCAAACAAAGATAAACTAGTGATCAGTAGAGATGTTCATGTAGACGAAAGCAAAGGGTAGGACTGGAATCAAAGTTCAGTTCGACGAGAATCAAATACAGTCACACATGTGTTCTAAGAAGATGAACAAAATGAAGCTTCAACCAGTCGAAATAAACAGGATGGTGCTTCAACCAGTCAAAATGAATAACCACTTGTGTATAATGAAATAAGGTCGATAAGAACAAGAACATAGTCGACAAGGCTAACTAGATATGAAAGGTTTTCAGATCAAGCAGTTGATGTAGATGGTTACTTAATTAAAGAAGCCATGATGATGGCTGAAGCAGAACCAATTGATTTGGATGAAGGCGTGAGCAATTCGAATTGGTGTGAAGCCATGAAAGAAGAACTCAGAGCTACTTAGAAGAACAAGACCCGGGAGCTTGTTGAGAGAACAAATAAAAAACCAATTGATGTAAAGTGGATTTACAAGGTGAAACGAACCAAATGGTGAGATTGTGAAGTATAAAGAAATATTGGTGGCGAAAGGTTTTCTACAAAAACCTGGTATCAAATTCAACGAAGTATATGCGCCTGTTGCAAGGTTAGAAACAATCTGAATTGCTATTTCGACAGCAGCATATAGAGGATGGAAGATGCATCAGTTGGATGTAAAGTCATCATTATTGAGTGGTCCATTGGAAGAAGAAGTCCATGTTACTCAACCACCAGGATTCGATGTCAAAGGGCATGAGTCGAAGGTATATATACTAAGGAAGGCTATCTATGGTTTGAAACAAGCCCCTAGAGATTGGAATAAGGGAATAGATAGCTTCTTGATCGAAGCCGGTTTCACAAAGTATGTCTCTAAACATGGAGTGTATGTAAATGATATCAACAGTGTCAGTCGGATCATTTTATGCCTCTATATTGATGACTTACTCATTACAAGAGCAGACGAAGTTGAGATAATAAAGGTAAAGTCGAAATTAATGTAGGAATTCGAGATGTCTGACTAAGGGAATCTCTCATATTTCCTAGGGATAGAATTCAAAGATACTGAAGAAAGAGTGTTCTTGCATCAAATGATGTATGCTCAAGATATTTTGAAGAGGTTTAAAATGAGAAATTGTAATGAAGCTATCACTCTGTTAGAAACCGGGGAAAAGTTGAAAAAGGAAACAAATGATGAGTTTGTAAGTTCGACCCTTTATAAACAAATCATTGGATCCTTGAGATACCTTTGCAATACTAGACTAGATATCTGCCAAAGTGTAGGGTTGTTGAGTAGATTTATGGAGAAACCACAAAAGTGTCATCTCATTGCAGTAAAGAGGGTGTTAAGATAGATAAAGGGAAAAATTGATCATAGTGTGTTGTTACCAAAGAGGTCAAAGAATAACACATATGTCAAAGTTCATGGATACACTGACTCAGATTTCAGTGGAGATCAAGACAAAAAGAAAAGTATCACAGGCTACATTTTCATGATCGAAGGTGCTCCAATCTCCTGAAGTTCGAGGAAGCAAAGCATTATGGCTTTGTCATCATGCGGAGCAGAATATGTAGCTGCATCATATATTGCATGCCAAGCATCATGGGTCAAAATGTTACTTGAAGAACTCAGGATAATGGAACCTAAGAAGATAAAGTTGTTTGTCGATAACAAATCAGCTATTAACCTGTTGAATCACCCAGTGTGTCATGGTCGAAGCAAGCACATAGAAATGAGGTATTATTTTCCGAGGGATCAAGTCAACAAAGGGAAGTTGGAGATAAAGCACTATAAGATATAAGTGCAACTAGATGACATATTTAGTAAACCTGTGAAGAAATTCAAATTCGACGAGTTAAAGAGAAGCATCAGGATGAGAAGTCTCGAGAACATGAATTAGGGGGTGTGTTAGAAGTTATAATTCGTGTTCTGACGAAATGTCAAAATAGCTAGTGTTTGTGTATGTCGAATAACTTGTTGTATAGGTTGTAAGCTGTATTCGACAGAGTCGAATACATCAGATATTATAGTAGTTCAAATTATTTTTTGGACTTTAGTGTGTTTTGTCTAATTAGGTCTGGGGCATTGTTTGCCTATATAAAGGGTTGCTGAGTTGGTAATCGTAAGTGTAATCAATAACAGATTTTTGCAATTTAGTTAGAATCAAAATAAACTTTCAATCTCTCTCTCTCTCTCTCTCTCTCTCTCTCTCTCTCTCTCTCTCTCTCTCTCTCTCTCTCTCTCTCTCTCTCTCTCTCTCTCTCTCTCTCTCTCTCTTATTTTTCTTCCTTTTATCAAACATCTTTCTTGAAAAACCTTTTTTTCATTCAATTGGTTCCAATAATAACTACTAGTGATTTAGGTGGATCAATCGAATCATTAATAGGGTACATAAAAATTGGTATTCTTAATTTTTTTGGAGAATTCTTAGGGTTGTAAGAGCCAGAGCACTATGAACTTGAAGTTAATGGTGCATGCATTCTACTAAGATCTAATGGGTTATTGAATCGAGTTTTTAAAATGCCTCAGACTGGTTGATTGAACAAATCGAACTGAGAATCAAAGAGGTAATAGGTCTGAATCAACTATTAAATCAACCATGACAACAAAATGATGGAAACCGCCGTAGACTAGGAAAAATCAGAAAAAATGGTGAATCAATAATTTATGCGAATAAAAGGGATTAATAATCTTTTTAATTTTTTAAAAATCAATTAAAACGATAATGTTTTTTAATAATTTTTTTAAATCTAACAAAATTTCACAATAAATTAATTTTCAGGAATTAAAATTTAGAAAGTAATAAAAAATAAAAATCTCATTGGCTAGAGTTTTATCTATTTATCATAAAAATAAGTAACCCAATGTTTCATAGATAAAAAAAATCTATTTAATCTACAATATCATTATTTTTTTATAAATACTTTTAAAACTAAATCAACCCCTTCAACCTAATTTAAAATTTCGTTATTGAGATTAAATCATGTGACTGGATTATTTAATTGTATTAGAAACGAACCCTAAATCTTAAATTTAAAATCATAAACCATAAACCATAAATTCTATTGAGGTGAAAGTTGGAGATCATATTATCTCTTAAGTTATATGATATAAATATGATGGGACCGTAATACAAAATGATAGAGAAATAAAAAGGGGGGGGTGTAAATTATCGAATTCAATCTGGGTGGCTGAAATGGAGAAGAGCTTCAATTATTTTACGTGACACAAATGCACCACTCGGGCTGAAGGACATATTTTATCGGAGTGTGGTGAGATCTGCGATGTTGAACGAGACATAATGTTGGACGGTTAAAAATCAAGATGTGAATAAAGTAATTGTAGCAGAGATAGCTAGGGATGTTGTGTTGGATGTGTGACATAACTAGACATAATAGGATTATAAATGAAAATATTAAAAAGAGTGTTAGGGTAGCGTCTATAGTAAAGAAGATAGTGAAAAATAGACTTTGATGCTTTGGACATGTAGAGAGAAGGTTTGGAGATTATATAGTAAGTAGGGTATATCATATGAAGAGAAGTCAAACAACTAAAGAAAGAGGAAGACTAGAAAAACTATAAGAGAAATCATTAAGAAATATTTGAGATTAACGATTTAGTTAAAAACATTATTTTATATATAACATTATAACGAAAGTTTATTCATATAATCGATATTACTTAGTAGGATAAAGATTAATTATTGTGGTTGTTGTTTTTTTATGTGGCCGAGACAAATAATTAAATTATTATTATTATTATTATTATTATTATTATTATTATTATTATTATTATTATTATTATTATTATTATTATTATTATTATTATTATTATTATTATTATTATTATTAACTTATTATTATTATTATTATTATTATTATTATTATTATTATTAACTTATTATTATTATTATTATTACTATTATTATTATTAACTTATTATTATTATTATTATTATTATTATCATTATTATTATCATTATTTTTGTTATTATTCTTATTATTATTATTGTTATTATTGTTATTATTGTTATTGTTATTATTATTATTATTGTTATTGTTATTGTTCTTATTATTATTATTATTATTATTATTATTATTATTATTATTATTATTATTATTATTATTATTGTTATTGTTATTATTATTTTTATTATTATTATTATTTTTATTTTTATTTTTATTATTATTATTATTATTATTATTATTATTATTATTATTATTATTATTATTATTATTATTATTATTATTAACTTAGTTGAATCAGATAGATAGACGTAATTAACGTTTTAAAAAGTCAGAGACGGTATTTTGAAAAGTCAGAGACGGTATTTTGAAAGATTAATAGAGTTGGAGGCTAAATAGATACAAGAGTCCTATTTCAAGACAATTGAATATTTATTTTCGTTTGACATTAGTTATTATTATTGATCATTATGATACAACGATACCATAAGTGGTTAAGTTGACAGTTTTTCATAATTTGCTTAGTGGAAGAATTAAGCATTTTCTTAATCATAACTAGAGTACCCAAAGTCGAATAATATTGTTAAATCCAAATTGTTGTTAGTGTTGTCTAATCTCATGATCAAACCTCTTTTACTTTAACAAGAACTTTGAGCATAAGTTATGCTATAAATGGAAATCGCTAGGATAGCCAAGAAATGCTGTACTTACTTCTTTGAGAAATATTCGAGTGTTGTACCTTGATCAATATTTAAGCGACACATCCATGTGCAATTAATCACTTATTTTTATTTTATGATCATGTTGAAACAGTTAAAAATATCATCCCACGTGGGACCTAACAAGAATGTTATGTTAAATACCACTCTCAACAAGCTCATCAAAGACATCACTAAATATTCATTGATCTCTCTTTCTAGTGATGGCAGAGAAAACCATCATGTTAACATTTCTTGTTTACCTTATTCTTTTGCAAAATTTTGGGTTAATGGAAGTGTTAGGGAAGAATTTTCAAGCACCACCAGCTATACCAAGAGTTTTGTTGAGGACTCCACAAGCTCATTCTAGTGGCTTTTATACCATAAATGATGACAAAGATGGTCAAGATGGTCAAGGTGATGCTTTTCGTCCAACTAGCCCCGGTCATAGCCCTGGCGTAGGCCATGGTACACCACCAAATCGTCCTTAACATCTAAGGAAATTGAACTTCTACGGTTCTAATTACAATATGGTTCTAATTACAATATAGTGTTGCAGTTGTAAAAATCGTTAGATATAGAGTTTATAGACTTACAACTACAAGACCATATTGTAATCGTAGATAGTTCAGATCTTTTCTTTTTTATCCCTATTATTATTCTTACTGTTTTTGGGCTTATAAGTTTTGATGCTATACATCAGTATGAATGTTTTTGAGAATATTGAATATCTTTTGTTTTCCCCAAATTTTTATAAGGTGGGTTGATTTTAAGGATATGTTGTAGTTTGATCTTTATGAATATTGATAAGGAATGAGATTGTTTTGTATTGTTTTTAAGGTGGGAATTTAACCATCTTACATATTCTTTTTCATCTTAAATTTTTATAGAAAAAATACTCTAATTTGAAATTCAATCCAAAGTTATGAAAATGCTGCATAATTTTCTTGGTATATAGTCCACTATTTTGGATTGTTCTTGGTTTGATGTACTCTTTATATAATACATTTTTATTTTCAAAATGTTTAGGAATTTTAAATTTATTTTTTTGTCAAAAAATTAAAGTCATTTGATTAATAAAATAAATAGATATATACCATTATACTATAAAAGATGAACTAACCATTGATTTTAAGTTTGTGTTTTAAATTCCATTACTTACAAAATGCAAGCAGCATATTTTAATAATATATAAAGAAGCTCGTTTTTTATTCATAATGATGATATCAATATTCATTTTACAACTTATTTCTAATAAATTTGAACTATGTTCTTTAAAGTTATAAAGGCAACTTGTACCACTAACCTTACACATCTTAGAAAAAATACAAATTGTATTGTACCCCTATCATCATGTAATTAGATTAGTAGTAATAGTTTAATCTTTATCAGCTTAGTAGTAATAGTTTAATCTGTGTAATTAGATTACAAAATTCAAATCATCAGAAATGAGTTTTACTATTATTTTTAATTTATAATAATTTTATTCTTTCCTATTTTTTAATTTTTATTATTACTTTTTACTTTCTACGTTACTTCTAATACGTTAATAGGATTAATTTTGTAAAAGTGTAATGTTTTATGAAAATATCATTGTATTCTTTAATTTATATACAAAAATTTTAAAACACAGTCATTTTAAAATAGAGAGAGTAATAGATAAAAACATACTAAATGAACTTTAAAAAAAAAATAGTTAGAGATATTTAGATATAATATTATGCACTGAATAAAACTCTCATATAAAATTTCTCAACAAAAAAAGATCATTAAAATTCAGTTTGAACTCACTCAAATTGTATTAAACTATTATGAACAAATATTTAATAAAATGCACTAACTTGGGTTATTTCAATACGTAGCCGTGTACTTAGTACTCAGTGGCTCACTAACTTTAAAGTTTATTGTTTTTCTTTGTTTATTAGTACAAACTATTTTCTTTTCTTACAATGTTCTCTATACATTTATATATTGTTGCTTTTCTATGGGACTGAAAGACCGTGTTTGTTAGATTCACATGACTTTTGTTTTTTGCGACTAAAAACAAAAGTATTGTATAAGTGAAAAGCAAACATCATCATGGTTAGTTAGATTCTGCACTAAGTGAAGTCAAACCACTCGACAGTAGCGAATCATATGACTTTGTTATGGTTAAGGTTGCAGGATGTCACGATTAGATTGTCAAAAAAGTTTTTTTTTTCATTCCATCTATATTTGAATTTGATTTCATGGTGTCTTCTAAATTTTTCATTAGCTAAATTATTACTCTTTCTAATTTTATTATAAGAAGTATTACTCTTTCATGGCGTCACTTGGTATTGTAATAGGTTTCTCCTGTTTTTTTTTTTTTAACTTGATCAGTCATAGGAGATTAATCCGTGACTAAAACCGATCTTGAGAGAATTAGTACGGGTTTTACCGCGATTTTAACTGTTTTGATTGAATAGATTGTCAATTTAACAAACTAGCTGAACAATACCAACAACAATGAAAATCATCGAAGAGACAATGGAGGAAAACATGTTAGGGTTCCACAGGATGAAAAGAATCATGGTGTTGTTATTGTTGAAAATTTGAGTTCTGAAGAAGAAGAATCCTACGAGGAAGAGGTAGTTGGTAATAGAAATCAATATAACCATGATTATCGAGTGAAGGCTGATATTCTATTATTATATGGAACAATGAGAGTGTAGGAGTTTTTGGATTGACAAATCAACGTCAATAAATTCTTTGACGTCATGAGCATCCTTGAGAACAAGCAAGTTAAGATGATGGCGATCAGAGTTAAAACTACTACTGATGTCCGGTGGTATAAACTTGTTGTTCAAAGACAAAGGCAGGGGAAGGGGCAGTCAGAACTTGGGAAAGAATGAAGCAATGTTTGACGAAGACAACTTATCTAGAGGGAGGTGAATAGATTTCTAAATTAAAAAACTTTTCGAAAAATGAGTTTTAAAAACTTTGATAACTATGGCAAGCGGAAAACACCCTGATCAAATATTGTCTAATTCGAACGTTATTGAGAAGCTAAGATATGCGTTAAATCAATTATATATGAAATGATAATGATAAGAAATTAGAACAATATATTTTCACAAATAATACATTTAAATGTGACCATAATAGAAGTGTGTTTCCAATGAAATCAAATATAATAAAACACAAAGTAGAAAATTATCAAACACTTGGTGTGCAATTGATTTTTAAGATTTTCCTTTTGACTTTGTTGAGACGAAAATCAATTATAATTCTAAGAATTATAATCTGATCAACAAATCAATTTCAAGTTTAATAACGAATGATTTTCTATACGTATCAATGCACAATCAATGAATTTAACAACTTACGATTAAACATAAAATAGAGAAGTCTATATATATATATATATATATATATATATATATATATATATATATATATATATATATATATATATATATATATATATATATATATATATATATATATATATATATATATATATAGAGAGAGAGAGAGAGAGAGAGAGAGAGAGAGAGAGAGAGAGAGAGAGAGAGAGAGAGAGAGAGAGAGAGAGAGAGAGAGAGAGAGAGAGAGAGAGAGAGAGAGAGAGAGAGAGAGAGAGAGAGAGAGAGAGAGAGAGAGAAGAGAGAGAGAACACGAGAATTTGTTTAGAGATAGAGATAGATCCACCGTCTCGCACTACTCCTTTGGTCGAACCCATCGTTCTTCGGAGCTTTCACTCGATCGAATTCAAATTGTGAATTATTTTCATCCAAGATTTCTAATCAATCCACCGTCTCATGCTACTCCTTTGCAAGAACCCTTGTCCTTCAAAGCTTTCACTCAATCGAATCCGAATTGAAAAATCTTGCCAAAACCCCATAATCAACACTTTGATCTTGATGGAAAACTCTCACAGTTTTTCTCGATAAATACCCCCAAAGATTCTCAACCCAATTTACAATTCAACAACCTAAACTGGACGTTATCAACTTGTTTACTGTGAAATTTGGTAAACAAGCTCTAGACTTCCAAAATATAATATTTTGGTTACTTGCAGGATCGACTAGCACTACTACGGAAAACTCATTTAACAACGGTTGAAAAACTCATATAATCACGCGAGTCTAAACGTTGTTGTGTAGAGTGTTGTTGTAAATGTGTTACTTACAATCATGATCCTGGAACCGTTTTAGTATACTGGAAAGTTTGTGTGATATCACAATGTTTAGTTAACTTAACCGCTATTGTATGTCTTTTAATAAATAAATAAAAAATCATAAGAACAACAATAAGAACAACATGAACAACAAGAACAACATGAACAATAAAAACAACATAAACAACAACAAGAAGAAGAACAACAACAAGAAGAACAAAAACAAGAAGAAGAAGAAGAAGAAGAAGAAGAAGAAGAAGAAGAAGAAGAAGAAGAAGAAGAAGAAGAAGAAGAAGAAGAAGAAGAAGAAGAAGAAGAAGAAGAAGAAGAACAACAACAACAATAACAAGAACAACAACAAGAACAACAATAATAAGACAAGAACAACAACAACAACAACAACAACAACAACAATAATAAGAACAAGAACAATAACAACAACAATAACTTGAATCTATACTTTCCTTGTCTCATTCAATATGGAAAATAGATGACAGAGTTCTGAAATTTATAAATTAAAGAAGTGATGCTTTCGAGTTTTACTTATGGAAGAAATGATATTTTTGAGTTTGGTTTAGTGGAGAAATATAGTATCGTAAATGAAAGATGATGTTTGAAGGTAAAAGATGAAGTTCGTCTAAGTTGAAGGTTTGTCTAAGTTTTAGGTTTCACGCGGATCGCTAACGGTAGTGTCCTGAGCATTGATAGTCATTGAATGGACGATTGAGATTTATTTAAGGACGCTACATAAAACAATGGTTGTATTAAATAACTGTTGTTGTATGTCTTTTAATAAAGGATTAATAGTCATTTATCCCTCTTCCATATAGGCGTTTTCTGAAAAAATTCCCCTATAAAAAAAAATTCGTATGAATTTTCCTAACATTTGAAGATTCTCTTATTTTAAACCTTCATGAGACTCAATCATCAAAAAAAAATGATGTGGAAGTTTATTTATTTATTTATTATTTATCACCTGATGTGGATGGTCTATGACTTTTTATTTTATTTATTTATTATTTTTAATGCCACATAGACATATTATTTTATATAAATTTTTATATTTATATTAAAAAACATGTTAGTGTTCAAAAACATGTTAACGATGAGAATTGAATCTAATCCCTTCACATTACAGCTCTAGCACCTTACTAATATTCTTAAATCATTTGAAACATATTAATATTGTATTTAATAAAATTAGTTAATAATTATAATATATATTTAATAATTTCAGTATTTTAATATTTTAATTACTGTAATTAAATATTTCAATGTAGTATATAGTTGTAGTTTATATTAAACTTAATATTAAATATTAATCAAATTAATTAATAATTGTTAATAGAA